TACTAGACACCTTACCTTTTGCAGCCATTTTGACCTTGTTTGCTGCGCATGCCTTACACTTCATGTGGTACCTGCAGGGTTTAATAGTCATACCTTCAACTAAGGCAGGCATTTTGGAAACTGCCTCAAAGTTCAAATGACCAAATTTCCGGTGATAATCATGAATACATCCTGCATGCAAAACCTTGTTAGTATCTGCAATACAACAAGTTTCCTTCTGCACAACATCAACAGAATCATCATAATGCAATACAAATAAACGATCAATATACTCAGCATGCAATACATAGTCATCTTTCTTGGTGATGGTGCACTTCCTTTTCTTGAAGGAAACGTCTATGTCCTGTTCAGTCAGCTGCGAGACGCTCAGTAGGTTGTGTGCAGCATCTGGAACAAAAAGAACGTTGCGTATCGAAGCATCCAAGCTGTGAAGAACAACCGTTCCATAGCCTTCATAGCCTTGACTGGAGATCGTGTGGTCATCCGCTTGGTGAATTGCACCTTCCTGCAGAGTAAAGGATACGAACAGGTGTTTGTCTTTGCAGACATGCCGGGTCACTCCCGAGTCTATGATGAAGAAAGATCTAGACGTCTTCTGGACCTTTGGAGTGTAGCGTGAGACCATAGCCTTGTGTTGCGTCGTCCTGGACCTCTGACCTTTGCCTTTGCCTTTTCCACACGTTGAGCTTTCGCTGCGCTGCTCTGTTGCCTTGGCCTTGGGATGTTTACATTCCCTCTTCACGTGGCCTAGACGTCCACATGAGTAGCATTTCACTGCCTTCAAAGCTTTGGCGCCATCTAGTGGTTCCACTGCATTCTGGGATGACGTCTGTGAGGACTCCCCCTTAGTGATACAGCTAGCACTACGCCGATCCGCTTCATTTAACACCACAGCAGTAACATGCGCTACCGTCAGCTGAGCAGTAGGCAAAACAGCAAGCTGGCTGGCAATCGCTTCCCAACTTGAACCCAAAGAATGTAGAATCATGAAGGAGTACACAGCCTCTGGAAAGGTGATTCCGCACTGTTGCAACTCATGCCTGAGATTCTGCATTTCCATGAGATGAGAACTCACTTTACATGGTATGGATAAGAAACTCTCCTCATTTCCTGATAAATGCTGTCATGATCCCCACCAGGAGCCCATGCTGTGCCTTAATAGCATCCTTTTGGATTGTGCCCACTTTACTGGCTGCTCTTTCACCAAAATTCCTGTCCATCATCTTAAGGCAGACAAAGACCTTGTCTCAGTCCTCCTCCTCCTCCTCCTCCTCTTCTTCTTGCTACATTGCCAGACACATTACCTTATCTCCACTTCCTCTTCTTCTTTTTTTTGCAAATTAAATTTTTATTGATTTTCATTACACATACATACATTCATAAATTACACATATATAGGTTACATATTTAACTTAGGCTCTATCATGCCTCTGACTTCCCTCCATTTCTTAGGTAAGTATCAAATAAAGTTCTAATATCACGTACTCTATATATCTTATTATCAACTACACGCTGTAAGAGTTATTCCAACCCTGCCAGTGTCTTCAAAGATTTACAATTGTTTCTTATATACGTCAGATATTTACTCCAATTTTCTTGAAACTTCTGCTCGTCCTGATCTCTTAATTTTCCTGATAGTCTGGCCAGTTCTTAGTCCATCATTTTAACCTGCCAGTCCATTATATTCGGTATTATGTCTGTTTTCCAATTCTGAGCTAACATATTTCTGACTGCTGTCGTGGCATATAAAAAGAGGTTTTTATCTTTTTTTTCAATTTCCTTTCCAATCAATCCCAGTAGAAAAGCTTCAGGTCTTTTTGGGAAAGTATATTTAAAGATTTTTTTAAGTTCGTTATAGATTAGTTCCCAAAAGCCCTTCACTTTACTACAGGTCCACCACATATGGTAGAGGTCACCCTCTACCTCTCCACACTTCCAACATTTCTTATTTTTTGTTCTATACATCCTTGCTAGCTTTACCGGCGTTAGATGCCATCTGTAGATCATTTTCCACAAATTCTCCTTTAAAGCAGTACAAGCCGTAAATTTCATGTTTACATTCCATAGTTCTTGCCACGCATCAAAATCAATATTATGGCCGAAATCAATAGCCCATTTAACCATAGCTTCCTTTATCTCTTCGTCTTTCGTATACCAATCCAATAATAAATCGTATGTTTTTGATAGTAATTTATTTTTACCTTCTAGAATATCAATATTGAATTTAGATTTCTTATCCTCGAATCCCTTTTTCCTTTTATCTTCTTTTAGTAGATCATTAACTTGGTGATACTGTAACCACCCTGTAAATAAATTCTCTACCTCCTCATACGGTTTGAGTTTTATATCTTGATCTGTCTTTTTGATTAGTTCTTCATAAGTAGCTTTTTTCCCTTCCATATTGACTTCTTTGATAGTTAAAACTTCCATTGGTGAAATCCACCAAGGGGTTTTCCTTTCCAATAGGTCTTTGTTTCTTTCCCAAACTTGAAATATTGATCCTCTGATTATATGGTATAGAAAACCCCTGTGAACTTTCACCTCATACCATAGGTACGAGTGCCACCCGTACCTATTATCAAAACCTTCTAAGTCTAAGAGATCTGTGTTTTCTCATTTTATCCAGTCTTTCACCCATGTTAAACATGCCGCTTCGTAGTATAGACTCAGTTCTGGCAGGGAAAAGCCTCCTCTTTCTTTTTTATCCACCAAGATTTTCATTTTTATTCTCGGTTTTTTTCCCTGCCAGACGAATCTTACTAATGTTTTTTGCCATTCTTTAAGTTGTTTTAGCCCTTTAATTACTGGAATAGTTTGGAATAGAAATAACATTCTGGGCAAAACATTCATTTTAATCACGGATACAGTGGTGCCTCGCAAGACGAAATTAATTCGTTCCGCGAGTTTTTTCGTCTAGCGAATTTTTCGTCTTGCGAAGCACGGTTTCCCATAGGAATGCATTGAAATTCAATTAATGCGTTCCTATGGTCAAAAAAAGTCCAATCAAAGCCAAATTTGGTACAACAAGAGTTTATTAACTGCTCTTTAAAGTCACACATACTTTAAAGAGCATATCAAAATTGAAGGAACAATAAATTAAGTTTCTAAACATGACAGGAAAAACATTTAAAAATCAAAAAGGGTACATTACATTTTCTAAGACTCTGGGGACCACTCGAAGAAGGTTCCTCTTCCACTCTTTGCTTCTTGCTGAGGAACCTGTCCATGGTCTGCTGCTTCATCCGCCTTTTCAGCAGCTCCCTGAGAGGTGACATGACCGTCGTATCAAAAATGTTCGCTTGGTCATGTGCCACGTGCTTGTCAGGGTGGTGCCGCTCTGCAAAGCCTGCACCTCATTCCACTTCTGGCAAATGTCCCTCAGTTCTTTGGAGGACAGCCGTTCCTCAGTTGCTTCCTCCTCTTCCAGCGAGGCCTGCTCCTGCGCAACCTCTGACTGCAGTTCAACCAGCTCCTGGGTGGTCAGCTCGTGGTCGTGCTCCTCCACCAGCTCACAGACGTCCTCCTCTGTGACCTCCAGGCCCATGGTCCTCCCCAGGCAACAATGTCCTGCACCACTGTCGACTCTGGTGCATCAGAGTCACTTGGTGCCACACAGTCCGGCCACAGGCTGCGCCAAGCGCAATTCAAATTCCTCTGGCTGATCCCCTTCCAGGCCATGGTGATCATCTTCAAGCAGGTGACAATGTCGAAGTGGTCCTTCCAGAATTCCCACAGGGTGATGGTGGTGCAATCAGTCACCTCGAAGCATCGCCTGAAAAGCTCCTTGGTGTAGAGTTTCTTGAAATTGGCGATGACCTGCTGATCCATCGGCTGGAGCAGTGGCGTGGTGTTAGGCGGCAGGAACATGATGCTGATGAAGCTGAACTCCTCCAACAAGTCCACCTCAAGGCCTTTAGGATGAGCAGGAGCATTGTCCATCAGAAGCAAAGCCTTCAGCGGCAGGTCGTTGTCCAGCAGGTACTGTTTGACAGCAGGGCCAAAGGCAAGATTGACCCAGTCCACAAACAGCACACGTGTGACCCAAGCCTTGCTGTTGGATCGCCACATGACACTCAGCCGCTCCTTGTCGACCTTGTGTTTCTTGAAGGCCCGTGGGTTCTCCGAGTGGTACACCAGCAGGGGCTTGATCTTCCAGGTCGCCGCTTGCGTTGGCACAGAAGAGCAGGGTCAGACGGTCCTTCATGGGCTTGTGGCCAGGCAACTTGGCCTCCTCCTGTGTGAGGAAAGTCCTTTTGGGCATCCTCTTCCAAAACAGCCCGGTCTCGTCGCAGTTGAAGACCTGCTGTGGAACGTAGCCCTCCGTCTTCACAACCTCCAGGAACTCCAAGGCAAAGTCTTCAGCCGCAGGAACATCAGAACTGGCAGCCTCTCCATGCCTGACCACGCTGTGGATTCCGGATCTTGCCTTGAACCGGTCAAACCAGCCTCTGCTTGCCTTGAAGACTTCTGGCTCAGCCGAGGTTCCTGACTGTTCCCGGATGAGGTCTGCGTGCAAGGCCTTGGCCTTCTCACAAATCACGGCCTCAGTCACTGTGTCCCCTGCATGCTGCTTCTCTTCTAACCAGATGAGCAGCAACTTCTCGACCTCCTCCAGAGCAGCTGGGCGGTTCTTCACGATCCTGGTGACTCCCTTGGCTGCATCAGTCGCAAGGATCTTCTCTCATCTTCAGGATGGTCCCGATGGTCGATGGGTTCCTGCCGTACTCCCTGGCGAGGTCCGTCACACGCATTCCACCGTCGTGCTTCCGGATGATCTCCTTCTTCATCTCCAGCGTCACCTTCTCCTTCTTCCTCTCGCCGGCCTCCGCAGCAGCAGCAGTCTTCTTGTTCCCCCAGCCCCTCCCCAACAGAAATTCAAAACCCAGAAATTTTTTTCAAAAAAAACCAACATGGCCCAATGGTCACAAAAAATCATAAAAATTCAAAAAAAAGCACACAAGCTCCCAGATTCTTGCAAACCCCTCCCCAGCTGTTCCCCCATCCACCCAGCACACCGAAATTTAAAACCCAGAAATTTTTTTCAAAAAAAAACAACATGGCCCAATGGTCATAAAAAATCATAAAAATTCAAAAAAAAGCACACAAGCTCCCAGATTCTTGCAAACCTCTCCCCAACACCAAGTCCTTGAATTCTAAACACCCCAACCCAAAATCCAAAAACCCCCAAAAAAGTTTTAAAAGTTTAACTTACGAAATGGCTGCAAATCACCAAAGTCTTCAAAATCCTCAAATGGCTGCAAAAGAAGTTTTGGGAAAGCTTTAAAAATCACCAAAGTCTTCAAAAACCTCAACTGTTCCCCCAGCCCCTCCCCAACTGTTGCAAACCCCTCCCCAACTGTTGCAAACCCCTCCTCAACTGTTCCCCCAACCACCCAGCACACAGAAATTCAAAACCCAGAAAATTTTTCAAAAAAAAACATGGCCCAATGGTTACAGAAAACCATAAAAATTCAAAAAAAAGCACACAAGCTCCCAGATTCCTGCAAACCCCTCCCCAACTGTTCCCCAGCCACCCAGCACACAGAAATTCAAAACCCAGAAATTTTTTTCAAAAAAACAACAAAATGGCCCAATGGTTACATAAAACCATAAAAATTCAAAAAAAAGCACACAAGCACCCAGATACCAGCAAACCCCACCCCAGCTGTTCCCCATCCACCCAGCACACAGAAATTTAAAACCCAGAAATTTTTTTCAAAAAAAACCAACATGGCCCAATGGTCACAAAAAATCATAAAAATTCAAAAAAAAGCACACAAGCTCCCAGATTCTTGCAAACCCCTCCCCAACACCAAGTCCTTGAATTCTAAACACCCCAACCCAAAATCCAAAAAACCCAAAAAAAGTTTTAAAAGTTTAACTTACCAAACAGCTGCAGAAGAAGTTTTGGAAAAGCTTCAAAAATCCAGCAAACTCTTTAAAAAGCTCAGAAAGGCCACCACACCGCGTGCAATGTGTTGCTCCTCGAGGTCAAGTCGCAACTGCACCTCTTCCAGCAATGCACCCTGGGTTTTAACGGTTTTACGAAAAGGAAACAAACTTGCAAGACGTTTTCGTCTTGCGAAGCAAGCCCATAGGGACATTCGTCTTGCGAAGCAACTCGAAAACGAAAAAACCTTTCGTCTTGCGAGTTTTTCGTCTTGCGAGGCGTTCGTCTTGCGGGGCACCACTGTATTCTCCCCAAGAATGACAGCTTTAATCTATCCCATATTTCTAGGTCCTTTTTAATACCCCTCCATGTTGCCTCATAATTGTCTTTGTATAAGTTTATATTTTTTGCTGTAATCCATACTCCTAAATATTTAACTTTCTTAACGGCTATAATTCCAGATCTTTGTTGTAGTTCCTCTATCTCTTCCTTGGTCATGTTCTTTGTCAGCATTTTGGTCTTATTCTTGTTAAGTTTGAGTCCCGCCACCTTGCTGAATTCTTCTAGTCTCTGTAAGGCTTCTTGTAAACTCTTCTTTGGCTCTTCTAATGTTAACACTAGATCATCCGCGAATGCTTAAATTTTGTACTCTTTACTTCCTACCTTGATCCCTTTAACTTTTGATGCTTCTCTTAGCCTCTTGTTAAAAACCTCTAATACTGTTATGAATAACAGGGGAGACAGGGGGCACCCCTGTCTAGTCCCTTTAGCGATATCAAAAGGTTCCGATATATTGCTATTTATTATGAGTTTGGCTTTTTGATCTTGATATATGGCTTCAGTTCCTTTTCCAAACCCTTCTCCAACTCCCATTGCTTTTAGATTTTCTTTCATAAATCTCCAGGAGATGCTTTTATCAAATGCTTTTTCGGCATCAATAAATATCAATGCCGCTTGCTTGTCTATCCTATTCTCTAAATATTCAATAATGTCTATGACATTTCTTACATTATCTTTCAGTTGTCTTCCCGGAAGAAAGCCTGCTTGATCTTTGTGAATTTTCCCATTTAAAAGTCTTTTTAATCTTTCCGCCAATACATCAGCAAATATTTTGTAGTCGTTATTTAACAAGGAGATGGGTCTGTAGTTTTTAACTTCTAAGCCATCTGCGTCTTTTTTGGGGATCAAGGTAATATAAGCTTCCTTCCACGTGGCTGGGATTTTTCCTTCTTTTAAGATGTTATTCATGACCGCGCATAACACTGGAACTATTTGGTCACATAATGTTTTATAATATTTAGATGAAATGCCATCTGGCCCCGGAGCCTTTCCCATTTTCTTTTTTTTTTATTGTTTTCCGAATTTCTTGTTCTGTAATTGTCTGATTTAATTGTTCTCTTTCATCTTCTGTAATCTGTTGCAATTGGTATTTTTCCAAATATTCTTCTATTCTATTATCTGTCTCTTTCTCTTTTCTATATAATTCTTTATAATATTTCTGAAACATCTTTCTTATCTCTTTGGGGCCTTCCACTATCTTTTCTCCATCCCTTATTCTACCTATTATATTTTGTTTTTTCCTTTCCTTTAATTGCTAAGCCAAATACTTCCCAATTTTGTTAGCTGATTCAAAAAATTTTTGCCTCATCATTTTAATTCTCCATTCTACTTCTTGATTCACCACCATGGAAAATTGGGCCTGTAGCATCTTTATGTTTTGTTTTATTGTTTCATCTTCTGGTTTAGATGTTAACTGTCTCTTGCTCTCCATGAGGTGTATCAAGATTTCTTCTTTCTTTTTCTCTCTTCCCTTTCTTAAGTGGCTGTTTTTCTGAATTAAAAAACCCCTCATAACTGCTTTACTTGCGTCCCAGACTATTTCTATGGGTGTTCCTTTATTCAAATTATATTTAAAGTATTCCTCAATTGTCTCTTTCGCCCTGTTTATTATCTTCTGATCATCGAACAAGTTCTCATTCATTCTCCATCTGAAGGTTGCGGGGTATTTTCCTCTTAACACCATATAGACCAGGTTGTGGTCAGATAATGTTTGTGGAAGAATTTCTGCTTTCTTAGCTCTCATAATTAATTCTTTCGAGATCCAAATGTGATCTATTCTTCCCCAACTTTGGTTTGGGTTTGAGAAAAAGGTGAACTGTTTTGTTTTAGGATTTTTGAATCTCCATATGTCAATTAGTCCCATATTATCCACCAATTCAAAAAAAGTTTTAGGTAGTTTGCCTTTGTTTGTTTCTTTTTTCCTTGTTGATCTGTCCAAGTCCGATATAGTCACTCCTTTGAAATCCCCCATCAGTATCAGATGTTGGTCCATCAATTCTAACAACTTGTCCCCCAATGTTGAGTAAAAGGTCGATTTTTTATCATTAGGAGCATAGATTCCAACAATATTTATTTTCTCCCCTTGGAAAGTGATTTGTACTATTATCACTCTCCCCTCTTCATCTTTATAAATTAATTTTGGGTCATATTTTTCTTTTATATATATTGCCACTCCTCTTTTTTTGTTCTTATCTGAGGCAACGAAGTCCATTCCTAATCTTTTATTACTTAGAACTCTTTTATGTTTTCTTGCAACGTGTGTTTCTTGCAAACATGTTATGTCAAGATTTTTTTTAATCAACACCTGTGCAATTTGATTTCTCTTATTTTTATTATTTTTTTTTAAAGAATATTTATTCCAATTTTAAAGTTACAGAAAAAAAAGAAAAAACCATACAGAAAAAAAAATATATATAACATGTTACAAAAAACAGACAGTAAGAAAAACTCAACAAAAAATAAAAATACATTACAATAAAGTATTACAAAAATCAAATTAAACCTTTACAACCTTTTTCCCTTTTACTTATTTCCATGACTTCCTCTCACCTCCCTGCTTTGTATTCTAGTTTAGATCATATCTCCAGCAAATCCTTCTAACCTTCTTTTCTTTTACTTGTTTTAACATTCGATAATATTTAATCCTCCTCTATCCTCATTTTACACTTCATTTTTACTTACTCCATTTATACCATATCTGCCAAAACGGCCTAATATTCTTTTCCAACCTTTTTCTAACATTCTTTTATATTGCAGTATTTCTGAAGATATATTTTAAATTTTTCCAATCTTCTTCCATCGACCCTTCTTCCTGGTCTCGAATTCTGCCGGTCATCTCAGCCAGTTCCATATAGTCCATCACTTTCATCTGCCATTCTTCTCGGGTAGGCAATTCCTGTGTCTTCCAGTATTTCCCAATGAGAATTCTTGCTGCTGCTGTCGCATACATAAAGAAATTTCTATCTTCCCTTCGCACCAATTGGCCGACCATGCCCAAGAGGAAGGCCTCTGGTTTCTTCACAAAAGTATATTTCAATACCTTTTTTAATTCATTATATATCATTTCCCAGAAGGCCTTGATCTTTGGGCACGTCCACCAAAGGTGAAAAAAAGTACCTTCATTTTCTTTACATTTCCAACATTTATTATCAGGCAAATGATAGATTTTTGCTAGCTTGACTGGGGTCAAGTACCACCTATAAATCATTTTCATTATATTTTCTCTTAAGGCATTACAAGCCGTAAATTTCATACCTGTGGTCCATAACCGTTCCCAGTCAGCAAACATAATATTATGCCCAACATCTTGTGCCCATTTAATCATAGCAGATTTAACCGTTTCATCCTGTGTATTCCATTTCAGCAGCAGGTTATACATTCTTGACAGGTTCTTAATTTTAGGTTCTAACAATTCCGTTTCCAGTTTGGATTTTTCCTCCTGGAAACCAATCTTTTATCTAGGTTAAAAGCCTCCTTATTTGATAATAATGAAGCCAGTCTCGAACTTTAGTTTTTAATTTGTCAAAACTCTGCAGTTTTAGTTTATCTCCAACTTGTTCTAAAATTTCACAGTATTTTGGCCAGTTTGTCTCCATATTAGTTTTTTTCAATGCCTTAGCCTCCATTGGTGACAGCCACCTTGGTGTTTTACTTTCCAACAAATCCTTATATCTCACCCAAACATTAAACTTGCTTTAAATGCTTTCCTGACAATATGGTTCTTAAAGGCCTTATGCGCTTTAACCTTGTCATACCATAAATATGCATGCCATCTGTAATGAGTATGAGTTACTCGTGCGTAAACTGGTGCCTCTCTAGGCTGATTTGCCTTGTTAAACCTTTCTGACTGCACAGCCCCTTCTGATCAGGACTGTCTCAGTCACTAGCAGAATCCGTCAGTGGGCGTTTCTTGAATCTCTTCCAACATAAGAGCTGTTTGACACCCAATCGCCTCCGCCTCTCACTGCGCGGGAGCCTTCTGCGCAGGGTGGGCGTGGGTAGCGGGGGACCTGTCCCCTCCTCACTGAGTTCCAGTGAAGAGTCCGTGAGCCCTCTCTCCGATTTTCCCATCTGCTCACTCTTTGTTCCTGGTGTTGCGCTTAAATGCTTCCCCTCCACTGAGTCGCCTCTCCCCTGCTGCTGGGTCCTTCTCCAGCATCATCCAGGAGCCTCCCTTCGCCTTCCGCTCTGATGTCAGTTCCTGACATCCACCTCCCCCAGAATCCCTCCACCCCTGGGCCGACCTGTGGGACCAACTCGTCCCCTTCGTCGGCCGAGGAGGCGGGCAAACCCCGGAAGGAACTGACACCATCTTCCGTGGGTTCGAAACCCGCTTCCCAATCGCTCTTCCACCTACCAACGGGGTGGTCTTCCCTGTCTGATGCTTCTTCCTCCGAAACCTCTCCTCCCTCCTCGGAGTCAGAAAATCCTCAAAAACCTCTTCCTCATCTGTGGTTCCAAATTGCTCCTCCCAGAATCTCTCCAGGGGTTTGGGCTTGTCCGGGAACCGGTGGTGGAATACCTCCACCAGATACCTGTCCTCGACGGCTTCCGTGGGGACCCACGTGCTTTCGGACCTGGGTTCCCTTCCCACGAGACCTAATACTCCACCCGGCGCCCGTGCCACCTTGAGTCCAGTATTTCCGTGGCCCTGTGGTGGTGTTCCCTTTCTTCTACCTGCGGGTGTGTGGTGACTCTTGCCCCTGGAATTCCCGCCCTTCCCTATGCGGTGAAAGCAGGGACCTATGGAAAACCGGGTGTATTTTCATGCTATCAGGCAACCTGAGC